TGTTTAACATCTTTATCAGTGATCTGGATGCAAGACACTGAGCATGGGATAAATGTGGTTATAATTGGAAAAAAACAAATGCTGTTTCCTAATTCCCTGAATGAAAGCTTATGTTCAGGCATAAGTTTTATATACATATTGGGACATGTCAAAGGGAGAAGGCACGGGCCAGCTCCAGTCCGTATTGCTGGCCCAAGTGATCTCCAAACCAGGAAGCAAAGCATGTGGTACCCCAATCATGTCCAAGCATCCCTTGCACTGATAGTGTAGATCTGCTGTCATGAAGCCGTGGCAGTCATAGACTAAAATGCCAGACAGATACGTAAGTAACCCTGGAGGAGTGAGTGGTTCTTCTGTAATGAAATTCTCACACTTGGGAGCTGGCAAACATGCCTGTGTGGCAAAAGCTGACAGAAACTACAGACTTACCTGCTGCTTTAGTTTTCAGCAGAGCTGACGGTCTGCTTGGCTCTCCAATTCCAACACTATTGCTGGCAACCACACGAAACTCATACTCAACCCAAGGGCTTAAGTCAACCACTGTTGCCTTGTAAGTCCTGCCATTAATGACTTCAGGAACTAAAGGTAAAGTAAACATGTCATGACAATTTATTTTTTGAATAATTCATGGTATATGGAAAAAATATGAGGCAGTTCTCAAATTGCTCACCTGTTGCAACTGCCTGCCATCCAACTGAGAAAGGAGTCCTCGTCTGAACACTGTAGATCTGAACTGGACTATTATTATCTATTCCTGCCTTCCAAGATAACACAGCAGTAGTGCTAGAAAGATGTTCAACTTTAACATCTTCTGGTGGTCCTGGGGGGCCTAATATGATTAGCATTTTAAGATAAAGGTATTAGGAAGAGAAGACTCATTGCTGGGTTGGGTTGGGCAACTTATTTTCTGAAGTCCGTGGAATTATTCATGCAGTTTCATAAAAGCAGCACAATCTCTGAATGATGGCGTCATGCCTGTATTACTGTTTTCTAATTAATGACAGGGTTCGAGTCAGGAAAATTAATGTCTTTATGTTACTAATACAAACACTGCAAACAAGGGAATGACTTTTTTATCTGACAAGGAAAATTACCCAATGTGTCTTGTTGAACCATCCAACATTTTCAGAATTCCTATTGAATTTAATCAAAACAGGTTTAGAAAGAATGTAAGATGGTGCAATACACATATTTCTGATTTCTGCTTGGGTTTAGAGGATCTTCTCCTGTCACAGCATTTCTCTTGCTGCTAGCAGTAAAAACATTAATTAGATGACCATAGAATATATTTTTTTCATATTAACTCCAAATAGCGGAAAGAAAGACAAGGTCTCTGTTTTTTTCCCAGCTTGCACAGTGACCCAGATCTGCCCAGCAAGGTGCAGGTGACAGAAGTCTACTGAAAGTAGAGGACTTCTGTATGTCCTGCCGCATTGACCTGTGTGGCCAAAAAAGTTTGTCTTCCAAAGAGGTCATGGCAGAATTGCACAGAACTCTCTGAACTCTCTGAGTTCATGCTAAGATCACAATTGCCATAATTTTAGGGCCAAGGGTACATGATATATAACATTTACCTATTGAAATGTTGCAGTGATATCCTAGGAACCATTTAAGCAACAGCTGATGTTAAGAATTTCTAATTCTTCCAGAAGATATATATGTCTATACTTAACAGACATACCTCTTACAATTATATCTGCTGTTGCAGATTGACTGTCTAAAGTTGTTTGTACCATGCACATATATTTCCCAGAATGATGTAGCTGAATATTTCTTATCATCAAATCCCCAACAGATTCCTGGAGATACAAAGAACGTAAACCAATCACTCACAACATGTTTTCCATACTGGACATTTTTATAAATTGCTCAATATTAATAAAAAATTCAGCTTTTAAATTAAAATATTCATAGCTCTCAACAGTTTCTTTCATGTGGACATTTTAATTATGGCTTCACAAATAACTCAAGCGCCTTTATGAAATTTAAGAAAGAAAAACAAATGGTTGCAGCCCTTGTAAAGAAACAGTCATTTGCCATGCATATAAATAGTGATGGAAGAATTATGATAAATATGATAAAGATAGTTTCATTAAACAATAAGGAGTTTAAAAAAC